GGTCTTTCTTTTATGTATTGCGTCTGGAGCATCTCATTTCAATGACCAGCAGTAAACAGCCATTATGCTGATGTTCCACCTTCCCTAATACCTTCTCTCCATTTCCCTGATGTCTTGATGAAACCTTTCCACTGGTTCTTCGCTGACGTCACCGAGATTTTCAGGGAAATAGTCAATGTGTGAGTGTAAAAAATTAACTTTCAAACTTGTATTACAACCCAAGTCTTCGAATTTATCGAGCATGTTATTGACAATATTTTCATAATTTGGATCTTTGTTGTTTCCTAAAAATTTGTCGATAACATATTTAAAGGCAATCCACGCTTCTTTTTCAAGTTTCTTCATTGTCCCTTTGAACTGTTCATCCAAAGTCAATTTCCTAATCTGATGCCCAACAAAAATCCCTTCTTTAAGTTTCATTTCTAAAAGAGCTGGAAATTGCCCACATAGATACTTGAAACAGTCGCCATCTTTGTCTAAGGCCTTTACAAACTGCTTCATCAAGCCCAATTTTATGTGAAGTGGAGGTAATAGGACTTTCACGTTCAATGTTTTTCAATCCTGGTATCAGGCTGACTCTGCGTAACCATTGCTTCTTTATACAACAAATTTACCACAAATGTAACAGAGTATGTTTGGTTCATTTACACAACATACTGTTGCCATAGCAATTAATAGATAATATTGAAAAGGGAGAAAATTTCAAGGTGCACGCACAAACAAATACTATCCAGAAATGACACGTCATGCGGCCTGTTAACCGTTTATATACTAGCGGTGTGTTTCTTGTGGGTTCTAGAACAATCGATAAGACTCTCACGTCGCTATTGGTCTAAAGAAATCTATAGCCAGTGGTTGTCAAAATTTTAAGCATAACAAAATATGATCCGATTTCAATGAAAATGTTTCACTTATGTAAAAGTACATATGACGTTTTGTGAAAAATATGTACGTGATGGAGAAAAATGGATATCGTTTTCCGATTCAGTGTACAGGAATTACTGTAGAACATATAAAAATTTCAAGACAATAAAACATCGCAGGCCCGTGTTATCATCATTGGACGACAATTACACATTTTTCTTTGGATGTTCTCAAAACAAGCTTGTAAGGATATCAAACTAATGTGGTTGTATGTATACATTTTTGATTCATATAAAACCTATACCACCCGATAGGTAGTATAGTATGTAATGTTATCTTAAATTTTAACTTTATTCATGTTACTGGTTATTTATATATATATAGATGTTCCGTGGAATTTATCTCTTACAATAATAATTAT